AGATATTCCACTCATTTTCCAAATTAATGTGACTTTTCACATGAGCAATGAATTAGAGACGGTAAGAATTTGACCTAGAATGGTACTCTTTGAGCATATATTCGATCGAGACATTTGGGTGACTGTTGCTCGAGATAAGGTATCAGAACCGATTTGTGGCGAAAAACCGTGGAGGCTTTTTATGCAACCCAGTATTTTAATTTACGAGGACGCGACTGCTAAAAGATCAAAATTAACAAGATCTGATCAAATGCAATAACAATTACGCGACTGCTAAAAGAACTAAATCGATAAGATTCAATTAGATTCAATAACAATTCAAGTGTGATTCAGAGAGTTTTCTCAAGCTTCCCGACGCTGACATTCCCGAATCACTATACTATGGCAACTGGTGATTTCCCTGGACATCACGGCATAGGTGGGTGAAAAAGTGAGAGAGGAAGTCTAGTTGACTACACCAGGGTGCTATATGTCGAATGTCATGTGTGCCCATTATTCGTCGAAAGTTCACTGTACAGTGGCACACTGTTCTTTCAAAGTGCATGAACTGACATCCTCTTTATTCGTGTCACATTTGAGCTAGAGGAAGAACCCTGAACCCATTTTCTTATTTAGTTGCTTTTCAGTCGCAAACACCATTTATGATACAACTATCTCGGATGAGCCTCTCTATTTGGGCAAATTCTTAATTGATGCATTTTATCTGAGGGAGCCGGTGAGTTCAACAGTTGCCCGTCATTCACCTTATGGTAAGCAAAACCTAGATAATGTAGCAATTTGATGCTTCCATAAAATCAAACGGCACTATTCAACTATTACTACCCCAGTTTTCCGAAAACGGGCTGGATCTTGATCGACTTTTTTCTACGGGGGCAGATTTGGCTGAAAGTTGGGTTCTAGGGGTAATTCGACCTCCTGAACACGAATATCACATCTGACGAAAACGGTTGTCGCCCGCGCCGCAGGCGCCGGCGCCAAAATGCCCCAATACGCTGGCGCCTGTGGCGCGGGCGCCATGCACTTTCAGGCCAGATGGATGTTATATTCGTGTTCAGGAGGTCGAATTACCTCTATAACCCGAATTTCAGCCAAATCCGCTTTCGTAGAAAAAAGTCGATCAAGATCCGCCCTGTTTTGGCAAAACTGGGGTAGTAATAGTTGAATAGTGCCAACAAAACTAACAGTACACGCACCTTCGGCGACGTCCTTGCGATAGGCGTGGAGAACGAGTTGGAGAGGGGTAGATAGGCTTTTGTGCGAACGTAAGCTTTCTTCACTCGAAAGTGCACGGAAGTGGGTCTGAAGGTAGCTATAGCTCGATGCTCTTGTCTTCTTCGTCTGCTATGTCCTCAAGGTGCATCACTTGCTTCGATAACATCCGCTGCGAAGACGCAATGAAAGAGAGGATGTGAAAGGGCGTTTTAAAGGAACGTGTTAGGCTATAATGAAGGCGTGTATGACATAAAGTCTATGCGTGCATTGTCAGTGGGAAAGATGCAAACGGCACTAGATACCACAAGTGTCCGTTCTCATTTCCGCATGATGTTGAGTGACGAAGGTATCATACTTCTACAGCTGCTCACCTGCTTGGACAAATCCTCACGTGTTGGCATCATCACCAACTGCATATAATTTGCTACGTTTGTTTGTTTGTCTGTCCGGAAATTCGGTTCGACCTGAAGAACAACTTGGAGAGGTCAGGTCAAGGTTGGGATGAGCAGGGCATGGGAGATGTAGAAGAGCGCACTGGACCTATGATAAGCTTCGCGACAGCTGTGCATGCGCCGAAAGTTGGCGGTCCGCATACAAAAATTCCGCTTCCAGAGCAGCCCAGAGATGGAGAAAAAGTGAAATAAAGCCAGCAGAGTTGGCAGACTAATTGGGGAAGACCCGTCTGGAATGAGCGAAACGTGACTAGGATGGGCAGTGCACCCGGAATATTCAATAGCACGGTTCTCGAGAGTTTCTTCTAGAGGCCGCAAAAAGTCGCTAGAGAAGAGAAGTATTCGGCCCGATTAGGGCACGCCTGTAGTGTTGGGATCCACCCACAGGTGGCGCAGCTTGCCTTCAAGCATTAGATATTCATTTGAGAGCAAGCGCCTAGGAGGGCAAGCAATAGCCAAAAATTCAAAAGTTGGTTGCAGAGCATGCACCGTGGAAAAGCAGTGTGAGATTATCAAGGGATTAGTGGACGAATTGGGGAGACATCCTTAATATGGGCGCGCGTGCTTATATGGGCGACGCTTGCTGCGAAACTTCTTAATTGGTCCTGCGAGAGAGAGTCTGGAGGTCGTAAAGACCGCTAGAGAAGTGGATCACCTGGAAAGTCCGTGATGTGCTGAGACCCGCCCACAGTGGACAGAGCGTATCTTCAAGCACGAGCAGTCTGAGTTTGAGTGCGTACGCAGCCATACTCTTACACACCTGCCGTCAAATATACATTTGATACCAATTGGCTCGCTGGCTGATACTGTTCACTGTCGGTGATAACAGTAGCAGTTCATCACCTGATTGCTCTACGCTCACCTTTCGCAATGAAGAGCTAGTGCACGAAAGTCGCGCAACCAGCGAGCCATAAGAACGATCAATGCATTAAGCGAGCATTAAGCAGGAGCATGGAGCGGTAAGCGGAACACAGTCCTCGTCACATGCCCAGCGTGCTTATCCCGTGTTTTTTACCCGCGAAAGTGCTACCTTCTGTGTGCTTGTGGACAGGATTACTTTAGGAAAGTGTCAGCACATCAGGTGAATGCTGGACTTGTCCTTGGCAAGAGAGCATACATCCCTCCCATTTTCTAGTCTACTATCTCTCCTGTCTATGAACCCGTCGTCGCTTGCCGATGTTGGCTTTTAGAAACTCGTACCACATATAATCCTCGGCTCAGGATGGGAATCAGAAGAGGAGGGTCACGAGTTTCATAGTTCCCGTTCCAGAAGTCATGGGAGATTTATTGTAACCCGTAATGCAGGCGATATGATGGAACATCAGTGGTGAGCACTGAGAGTGGTACTATCTGATTGGAAATTGTATATCATAGGACAAATATTCTTCATTTTTCACTATTAATTCTTCATTTGTATTCATTATTCATTCGTGGTGCTGATTATAAGATACCACTAGCGCTGTCATTAAGATACTCTTTGATTTGCCCCAAACCCTTTTCAGATCTGGTCTGTCTACAAAAAATTTTCCAAGCGTAAGGTTGCAACGTTTTCATGGGTTGGATCCTACCATAATAGCACACGTGGGTGTGTTGGACACTTGACACTTAAAATGTCGAACCTTCATATAATCCTTGGTCAAGGTGCTATACTAGGTTGCCATAGACAGCATCTACAATACCGCCCCTAATTTCTGGTCAATCGACGGTTTGCGACAGATTTTTCCGTCGCAAACCGTCGTTTTGCCATAACTCCTGTAGAAATGGTCCAAATGACATGCGAGTTAGACCAACGGATAGCCCTGTACAAGACGAATCCAATGATGTACGGAGCTTCCACTTTCCTCCAATTTCTTTGACGTTCTTTATGAAATTGAGGTTTGAGTCTCCAGTAACCTAAAGTGTCACCTGCGGACACGGCTACGTCGTAAACCCTCCAGTCCAATTGTGAACTTCAAACCAAGTGCCACAAAGCTATAAATACCAGCATATTCAGAAAGAGCATGATTCCGTGATCATTTTGATACTTTTCATGACAGGGTTTCAGCAAGGTTCAGCTGAAAATCATGGTTCACTGACCACTCTTTCCTTGATTTCCGGTTTGAATCGTCTTGAGGATCAGTATCTGACTTATGATCCTGGAAAGCTCTTATCGGCTCCATATAATATGATGAATGGCTTGGAAGTACAATACCCGCCGTAATTTTTGAAAAAAAAACGAAAAAACGCAGATCCGCGTTTTTTTTTGCTATAACTCAATCTGTGTGAGCTTTTCTCAAATAAATAGAACCCTATACTGTTAGACTCAGCTCGTCGATTGCAGTAGGCTGGCATCCTAAAAAACTAAAAAGTCGAAAATTGAACTGTGCTTCCTATCGAAGTACCTGAGGACACTCGTTAGCGAGCGAGTCTCGCTATGATTGTAACCAGAGGGTAAACGTTGGGAATTAAATCATTGTGGAATCAAATACCGTACTGTGTCGCGTGAGAAGTGATTAAAAACTAGATGGTTGTGTTTCCCAATGCTGCTGATCATTTTGGTGCCAATTTTCCTGAGAAATTGAGGGGTTTCGCTCGATGTCACTTCCGGACGATATAGCCTTTTCAGTCCGGAAAATCTCGAGCTGTGGTTCAGTTCGGACCACACGAGCACAACGTGCCTAATGTATGGAGCCCTGTTTTCCCTAATGTTCGCGAATTTCAAGAATGAAGTCAGAAAGAAGGGTTTTTCAACTACTTGAAATGGGCACTTCGTGCGATACTAGAACAAATGCTCGATTTTCAGCGTTTTCAAACAGGATTTCCAGGCGCTCTGAGTGGCCCCAGATCTTCCATAAAAAAGCCACCCACAGAACGTTCTGTGCTTTTCAACAACTTGGTGGAAACAGTGGAATATTCTAGACTGGTTGTTGTTATCGGGTGCCAACTTCAAGACCATTTCAAAGCAAAATTTACGCTCTTTCCAAAGGAAGAAAATCCCAGTCAAAGCTACACCATTCGAATCCCCATGAAAAATTCTATCTATTCATGTAAAAATCACCTCATGAACTTCCTACAACCTTTCGCAGTTTTCCCCGGCTATCTGTCCTGTCAGCGGTCAATCGACCTCCTAAGTAGCTATCCCACCGAAGTGTCACGGCACTGTATTGATTAGTCTAAATAATTTCGTACACCAAGTGTTCTTCTATTTCGCAGGTGGTTCATGAGGACTGCCGTGCTAGAAAATGTTTCTCTTAGTTCAAATTTTAATTTTCATCGAATTTTCAAAAATTTCGTACTTCGAATTACAAACTTCCCCATCATTAATTAATGTTCGTTTTCTTGGGAAAACCTTGCGTAATAGAACTAACGATACGGCAGATTTTTCTAGGCCCCACTGCTTCAAGCAACTGATTCCGCTATAAGACCATGCAGAGCTCAAAAATCCTTGACTGTTACCGTGAACTTCGAATAGAATCATGGCGAACATTTTGAAGAATAGTTTATTCGAGCCTCGTAATGGGACCCTTCCATTCAAACGAAGTTGTAAAATCTGAAGCACATTCGGCTCGTAATCAGTTGACGATGTCGAAAAAGGTCCTAAGGTAATGAAGCGCAGGTATCGCCGAGGACGGCAGCTGCGATCGGATGGAGGCCTTCATTCAAACGATAACGATGGAGAAAGCAACTATTACATTGCATTTGTGTATGGTATGAAAATAGTAGGTACCCAGAATAACTTGTGAACCCAGAACTATTGCGATTCCCGGAAATCCAAAGCTGTTGAACAGTTAATATTCCTGCACATCGTGAAACCATGCGATTGTCATCAAGTACAAGATTCAGTTGAATGATTCTTAGTAACTCTTCGTGTGCTGTTGGATCATGGAGAGTTACTAAGAACAAATATTAGTCAGTGGTGGAGGAGTTTGTAATTAAAGTACGAAATTTTTGAAAATTTGATGAAAACTCAAATTTGAAATAAGAGAAAAATTTTCTAGAACGGCAGTCCTTAAACCTTCTGCGAAACAGTGAACCACGTTGGTAGAAGAAATTACTGAGACTGATCAATACAGAGACTGATCAATGCCCTGACACTTTGGTGGGATAATTACTTAGGAGGTCGATTGACCGCTGACAG